TTGAAAATAAATATCCCGTCATTCGTTTACCTTGTTCTTTGAGTTGAGGAAGGACCGGCATGCTGTGCAGATATCGGCGTTTGTCTCCCCCTTGCGGTGGGATAGTTTTGAACATGTCCCCCTACATATCTAAATTGAAACGAATGCGTGAAAGCAACATCTAAACTGCAGTCATTTCAACTGGGATATTTTCTATGCAATAAGAAAGAATAAATATAAAAGACACTATTTTGATTATTCTACCTATTATTATTATTATTATATTCTGATTTGCAAGGAGCAGTTCACACTCTGTGATGATTCAAGTTTACCTTGAGGTAAGGAAGAGTTTCCACAATCCGCAGCTGAACGCCGAGGGAGTCAGAAGGGTGCACTTGTTAAATTGAGTTAAACTTAAATTAAGATATGAGATGATGTTACAAAATGAAATACAATAACTTAAATTACATTATTGTATAGGGTGGTGTGGTGGTCAGCACTGTCGCCTCACAGCAAGAAGGTCTTCGGTTCGACTCCGCACAGTGGCCTTTCTGTGTGGAGTCTGCATGTTCTCCCCGTGTCTGCGTGGTTCTCTCCGGGTTCCTCCCACAGTCCAAAGACATGCTCTGGGGATCAGGTTGATTGGAGACTAAGTTGCCCGTAGGTGTGTGAATGGTTGTGTGTCTCTGTGTAGCCCTGCGATTGGCTGGCAACCAGTCAAGGGTGCACTCCGTCTATTGCCTGAAGTTAGCTGGGATAGACCTCCCACCCCCCGTGATAAGCGGTTTGCAGATGGATGGATTGTGTATACCAGGTAATTAAATCAGTATGTTGCCTGTAATGATTAAGATTCAGCAGGTGACAGTATTGAGCGACACGGCTTCATGAGGCCCCATCTACCCATCACTAGTGTACGGCATGTCAGCTGAGACAAGATGACCACTCAGGATATGAAATCTGTGTGACGTGTATTTCCGGTGTCCAGCGGCACAGGAAAAACTCCCCGAAAAAACCCTTACAAGAGGGAAAAAAGGGAGGAAACCTTAGTGAGAACGTCAGAGGAGGATCCCACTCCCGGGATGGACAGACTACAATGGATGCCATGTGTACAGAATGAACAATGTATAATACATGCAATTCCTATGACAGAAATGATTCAAGTAATTGTGAGTAGCAAGCCAGGCGCACAGCAGGACCACTGCAGGGACAACCACCATCAGGTAGAACCACCATCACATAGAACCACCATCCACAGAAGCCTGTGGGGAGGGAGAGCACAGAGACAGTCCTGCACAAAACCTTCCTGTTTACCATCGTCCCAGTATATATGTGTATATGTGGGGCTGGGAAAGAAGACCCTCGAGTGAGGTTGGCGCATGACCTGTGTGTCAACTTTGTCTCCTGTTTGCAAACATTAAATGTCCTGTTTATTTTACACCGGTGTCAAGTATTAAATATAATAGGTGTCGACCTCAAAACTGTCTACTACTTCCTCTGAAATAGCTCAATATGTTTATGTATTCGTGTAAAATAAAGATGCAAGTACTCAAAGTGCTTCTCTTGTGGTGCTTTTATTCTGACGCTTATTCTCAGTGAGTCACAAAATCAATACTTACAGAAATGTAGAATCGGCTAAACGTAAGCGCAGCGTCTGGACTGACTTTCTGAACTGGAGGAATCAGTTCCAGGTGAGGAGCTTCCTCCCTCTGACACACGTCTTCCCTCTTTTCAGATGCCGGCCAAGTGTTGATCTGCTGATGTCAACAGTTACATTCTGGTCCGTGTTATTTCCCGTTTTATTTTGGGACTGTGCTTGATGCTCTGCTTCGTGTCCTGGCAGGGTGATCAGATCACATGAATCAGCTTCGAACCCTGTTTGGGAGCGAAGTCTGCTTTTGACATTTAAAGTTTGAATAATCTACATTTTATCCCTGAAATTTTCTTTTGTGTATATTTATTTCCGGTTTTCAGTGTAGCCTCAAAATCATGGAAAAACACATGGAAGAAACTTCCTTTAATGTCTACAAATAAAGATAGAAACCCATCTGACATGTCGGATATAAGACTCGCTGTTTATAGCTGTGATGTCACATCGGGTTTGTATTTGTTAGAAATGTTTGTTAGAAAAGTCGAACAGCCGGCAGCACCACAGCTGTAGGGCTTACCGGTATTAGAACGGAATCCGTAAACGGGAACAGGCCGGGGTTCAGAACCAGGATGGCAATCAGACCGGTGAACAAAATCCAAAAAGGGGCATGCGGGGAGTTTGCGGTCAAAAAGGCAGGCAAAGTCCAAACGGCATCGCAGGTTAATCGGGAAACGCTGGACAACTTGGCACACAAGACAACGTGGCAGAGGTCAAGTGGAAGCGTGGGGACCGAAATAGTGAGGGACTAACGGGCTGCAGGTGGGAAGGGCATGAGGACCAGGTGAAGAGGGGGAGATGATTTCTTGTTGATGACAGGATCTGGAGTTAGTTGACAAGCAGACGGGCAGGAGAAAAACTAATAAGATGGAGAATTCGTGACAACAACAACAGATAAATGTTGAGCTTTGCATGATAATAAGAAGCTGAGTTTAAAAAGTTCAACAATACTTGATGTACAATGAGGAATTTTTCTGCCGGATTCATGTTCAGGATTTGAATACATTATATGAGCATTAAAGCTTAACGGGACGACTTTTTTAATAACATCATTAATAAATAAAAACATCAAAAGGAACACGTGCTGTCAAAGATATATATGGAGATGGATTATTTAGATCATAAGAGAAGGAAAATGACTAAATTCAAGAGCTCATCGACCCTCTTCACACGCTGACTCAGGATTCTACAGAAAAATGTTTCATATATTTAAAGTAGAATGTGCGGAGGCTTGAGGCCAATGTGTCAGAGGGATCTTGGCAATGAGATTAGGCAAATAATATCTTAGGTAGGCTGGGCTGCAGGGGATGCAAGAAGCAAATTCACCCGTTACAAAATCATACATAGGTGTTACTTTACACCTCAGAAAATGCATAACGTGGCTTTAATGCAGGACAGAAAATGTTGGAAATGTAAACAAGGGAATTGGCACTTTTCCACACGCTATGTGGGAGTGTTCTAAGGTGGGATTTGGCACAAGCAGCCTTTACCAGTATCCACAAAACTTTGCTTATTGGAGATAAATTACTGGTGCCACCAGGTTTTAAACAAAAAAGAGGTCAGCTAAGCTAATCTTACAAAACTGGAAGAGCCCATTTTTACCGTCTGACAAACCTAAACGTATGCATCTGCGTACAATGTAAATGTCGGATTGAACATCTAAAATAAATGAATAAAAGCAGATAAAATGACAATTTCGCTTCCTTCCGAAAACCTGGGATCCTTTTTCTTATTTCTTGTACAGGAACGCATGCGTAGTGTCAACTTTGGTTCACAGCTTTGAACACAGATGAGATGTTTGCACGTTGTGTGTGTGTGTGTGTGTGTGTGTGTGTGTGTGTTTATTTCTCGGTGCAATTTTTGAAATAACAGCAAAACTCCCCCGAGCTGCTGACTTCCTCTGGTATGAGTCAGGGGCGCTCTGCTAACCGCCGTGTGCGTCTGCAGTGTGTCGACAGACTGAGCTGATTAGGGCAGATAATTTGCTTCCTCCAATGAATTTATGATCCATTAACTGCATTTTCTTGGTTTTGTTAATCAAGCATCGATATAGAACACTTAAACACTTAAATGTAAGACTCTCTCACCCCCTTTCTTTCCATTTCCCTAACCAAACTTTGAAGACACACCTTCATCCCCATTGATGCCAAACACCACGTGACTCAATCGACGTAAAGGAAAATAAAAGGGCCGTACCAGGTGGCATCAGCAATACCGGGCTCCTATAGAGGCTGTTTGCCACAGTTTAACTAAAAGGGTCAGTTGTTGTGTGATGTTTGTCTAGTACTCTGGAGCTCCTATACAACTCAAAAGGTGGTCATTACGACACACTTTACCAGGGAATGTTGATAACAGAGCTCAGATGGTGTTTTTACCTGCTGTTTACGTATTATCTCGAGTTCTTTTCAACCACATTCTTACATCATTACTGCTTTGATTCCAAAGAGACGAAACTTGTTGTAATGTTTTCTTTGAAATGATTATAACATGTCTCCTGGAGAAGCATTGATGTTTTCTGTAGACGCCATGCGGGGCAGCGTGTTGTACTGAGTTGATGTACTCATTTTGAATGAACACGTCATCCTAAACCGACACAAGCTGTGCACCAGGAATGTTTCCACAGAAGTTAATGACAAGCCTTCTCACGGTGGAGATATTTCATCCTGCTGGACCAAAAGGGGAAGTACACAGCGGCGTTGATCCTCCTCCAGTCTGCGGTCTACGGATCCCGTTAAGCAAGAAAAATATGGTCATTCACATATTAGTAACATATGCGTTGTCTTGTTCTATGTGACTCTGAATCATTTACCTGATAATGATTTACATCATTACTATGAAGTGCAACAGTCAGGAAGAGCTGTTTTTAATTAATACCAGACAAAAACACTTTTGTTTGTCTCGTTGTTTGTGGGAATGAAAGAGCGAATACGCTCATGAAAACCCCCGTCTTCCAAAGGGACATTTGCATTCATACATCCTGCTTTTTTCCTCTCTCTATGTGTTCTGTTATGTGTTTGTTAGTCATTCCGTATATCTTATAAACGTCCTCACCTAAAATAAGAAGACACAGAATGACTATCATGAGACCGAGCATGAGAATTCCCCCAAATTCCCAATTTTTTTTTATAGAAGGAACATGTCTTAATTTGTTGTGCAGATATTGACCAAGGATGTGAGCTCATTTTAAAGGTCCCAGTGTTTATCAGCTAAAAAGGACCATTCCCCTCTAAGTCTACCGCGCTCTTGTTATCCTTGTGTGGGAGCATTACAAGGCAAACATGTTTTAGGGATACGAGCACACTCTGCAGAAAGGAGGAAGTGGCTTTTAGGTGCTTTTAGGTGAATCACCGGGACCCGCGCGCTATAAATACCACTCAGAGCCTCTCCGTCCCAACAAGCGCTTCACACATCACAGAGGAGACGACAATGAAGGCTCTTCTGCTGCTGGCGCTGGTCGCCCAGACCTCCGCTCTGCCCCTGCCCCCCACGGGGACAGACGACTGGCTTTTAGCCGAGGTAAGATCTCTAGTTTCTAGTTTGTTGTGCGGCAATCGTGCGTCAGGAGCGTCACCCGAGGCTGCTATTCTGTTCCCACAAACAGAGGTACCTGCGTCGGTTCTACGGCCTCCCCCCTGGTCTCCAGGGTGGAGAGAGCTCCTCGGGCGCCTTTCAGACCAAGATGAGGGAGATGCAGACTTTCTTCAAACTGAAGGTGAGCGGTGGTCATAAACCCTGTTAACATGTGTGAATGTGAGAAGGTTTTATAGATGGTTGAATGAGAGATGAGAGTCATTTTAACATCATATGGGTGGTGCAGACACATACAAACATTTTCTTTCCTTCCCCTCTCGTGCCTCTCGAAGGTGACCGGGAACCTGGACGACAACACTTTGGAGCTGATGAAAAGCGCCAGATGTGGCGTCCCGGACGTCGGGGAGTACAACCACTTCCCTCGACAACTCAAATGGCCAAACAACAACCTCACATTCAGGTGTGCGTCACGATGATCCGGTTTAATAAACGTGAAGCATTCAAAGTACTCGGACAGCGTCGTTTATTCAGTCCTTCAACCCCCTGGTGTTGCAGGATATTAAATTACACGCCGGACCTGCAGAAGTCGGCTGTGGACAAAGCCATCCGCCAAGCGCTGAACGTCTGGTCCGCTGTCACCCCTCTGACCTTTAAGAAGCTGCACCAGGGCAACGCTGACATCATGATCAGTTTTGGAAGTAAAGGTAACGAACAAACTAATTGGTAGCTGATGAAATGGCGCGCGTTCCGCTTTGACGTTTTTCCTTAAAAGAACGCCTGTCGTGCAGGACACGGAGACAACAGCCCCTTTGACGGGCCCAACGGACAGCTCGCTCACGCCTACCCACCGGGCCAAGGCCTCGGAGGAGACACTCACTTTGATGAGGATGAACGCTGGACCGTAGACTCATCAGGTAGGAGCGGTGCGCGAAACCGCTGCAGTATGAGTCCCTGAGCTGCATCCCAACGATTGTCCCTGAATGTGTTTTTCCCCCCCCACACAGACTACAACCTGTTTCTTGTGGCGTCCCACGAGTTTGGCCACGCCCTCGGCATGGACCATTCCACCGACCCGGGCGCCCTGATGTTCTCCATGTACTCGTACTCGACAGGCTTCCCGCTGTCCCAGGACGACGTCGCAGGCATTCAAGCTCTCTACGGTGGGGAAACGCCAGATCCCCAAGTCATTTTTTCGTGGGAAAAGTACGTGAACTGTGCGATTAATTCCAGATTTTTTTAATAACAGGCCCAAACCCGAAACGGGAAGTGAAGCCAAAGCCCGACGCACCCACCAGATGTGACCCAGAGTTGAGCTTTGATGCCGTCACAGAGCTCAGAGGGGAAACCCTCGTCTTCAAAGACAGGTGCGGTGACATCTCGCGTGAAGACCCATCACATAACACGGCAGCGGCGGACTGAACGGCGAGTGCGGCTCGGCAGCCGGAGGAGTCTCAGACGTGTTGCCTTGTGTTGCAGATTCTTCTGGCGTCTCCATCCTCAGATCCCGGAGCCCCACCAGACGCAGATCATGTCCACCTGGCCTTCCCTTCCCAACAAGGTGGACGCGGCGTACGAGTACCCAGAGAAGGATCGAGTCCTCGTATTCAGAGGTGGGTTACGCGTTCTCCTTGTTTTTGCCATTGCATCGCGCCGTTGGATGTCAGACAACGTCGGACCAAAACGCTGTGTTTCAACAGGGATCCGAATGTGGGCTTTGAACGGATACAACGTCGTGGACGGCTACCCAAAGTACATCCACACACTCGGTTTCCCCAAGACAGTGAGGGAAATAGATGCGGCTGTGCACATCGGAGACACCGGGAAAACTCTGTTCTTCGCCGACGAGGAGTATTGGAGGTGAGCGGTGACGGGGAATCACGCGTCGACGCCATCTTTCGGCGTGCCGCTTCGGGTTTCATGTCAATTGTTTGGCTTTCTCACTTGTCACCCGCAGGTTCGATGAAGCGACGGGCACCATGGACAGCGGCTTCCCGCGGTCATTCGAGGACGACTTTCCAGGGATGGGTGACGAGGTCGACGCAGCTGTGTATCACAATGGTGAAGCCTCAGATTGTCGCATTTACGTGGAGTCAAAGCCGGCGTGGACTCGCTGCTGATTTCTCTCTCTTTTGTCTTGCAGGAATCTTGAGTTTCTTCCACGAACAAATACAGTACGAGTACAGTTACACCTCGAGGAAGGTCATCGGCATCAGGAGGACCAACTCCATTCTTGACTGTTGATGACATCATCAACGGTGACCTAAAGATAATTACAAGCCGACATGTTAGAAAATGAGACCAAGGAAGATGCAGTTTAGTGAGCGAGAGGATTAAAGTTTATTTTCTACTAGTGCTGGACACCTGTAGGTGTATAAGTTGTTAGACACAGAATGCTGGAAAATTCCTCAGAAATATATTTCCTTTTTTTAAATGTATATTTATGGCACATCTCTGTATTTAGTACTTAGTTCCAAGGTCTGTGTGTAACAGTTTGGCTCTTTTGTGAGCTCAACATTTGACCAGAGTACATGTTTCACCAACTTTGATATTCCAACAAAGAGCTTATTGATGTATTGCTTGTTTGTTTTATTGTACGTTTTGTGAATTATAATTAAAGCGCTGAAAATCTGTTGAATTTAATTCAAAGTCTGTTGAGCTGAGTGATTATTTTGGTCTGTATTTTCAAATTAAATCAAATGTAATTAAACCAAAGCCGGAAATAAAGCGGTCCGTGATCAGACTCGATCTGACTTGTTTGCGTGTGAGGGTTGGAATCTGCCTCATCTCAGCCGGCGGTTTCTTAAAACTGCAAAGACGCAGCGTCATGCAGGTGTAGTTCCCCATCTTCTCCACCAGAGGGCGCTCCTGTCAAACCACTCAAAGCGCATGTACTCCACATTAGGGCTTTCCAACCACCGGTACCGGTCCGTGGGCCGTTTGGTACCAGGCCGCACCACACAAAGAATCTGTTTTTTTTTCTGAAATTTTATTTTGGGAAATTGACCGGATTGTCTCCCAATTATCTGCGTTCGTCCCTCTTGACACGTTTTTTTTCGCCTTATACGATTGCCCACTACTCCGCGGACAGAGAGAACTACATTAGTAATAATGTAATAAAGTAATACACCAGATCTCATCACGGCACAATTCCACCGCCGAGGAAAGAAAAAAAGAAAAAAAAACTCATTAACTCGGCAAATGTTGGGGAAAATCTTTGGCTCCGGCCTCATTAGCTTCCGACAGCCGAAACCTAAATTAGTACCAACCTATATTAGCAAAGCGCCATTACTCACGGTATCCTCACCCTCCAGCGCGTAATAACGATCATCCAATTATCTGAACATTTCAGGAACATGAAAGTGAGAAACTCGTCTGCCGAAAGGTCACCGCCTCGAGCCGAAGTCAAGGAACCGGCGGAGCGCGAGCCGAGCGCCGTAATCCACGGGCCCCCGATCACGTGGGCGTAATTACAGCGCAGCGAAGCAATCACCTCATTTCCGAGGTGCTCGTTTCGCCGCCGACGTCGGCTCCCGGAGTCCGAGTCTGGTTAATCTGACTTTGTACATGAGCTCTTTTTTACAATCAAATGAAGATTAGCACGCCATTTGCACGTGTCGCCGATGATACACAACCCCCCCTCTTCAGTTTGCCCTCTCGAGAGCTCGGGCGTTTTCGAGTAGAAACTCGGCAGCTCCCCGCCGTGTGAAATCCAACACGAGAGGACGTGACAAAGGACACAACTCGGACAAGAGAGCTGTTGTGCTCGGCACACAGCGGCTCGGCTCAGCTGTCTCCGGGGCCGAGGGACATCGGCCCTCATCGCTGTAACTTCACCCCGCTGTATATCACGTTCTGTGATGTGTGGAAGTAGCGCTCACAGTGAAATACAGCTGAAGGGACGTTTAGAGCTTTCTCTAATGTGTGTGTGTGTGGGAGGATCGTTTTTTCTAACACTGGGAAGACTTTTCACTGCTCTTAAAAAGGGAACAAGAATGCTAAGAACGCTCGGTCTCCTCGGTGGTTTTCACAAATTGAACAACTCTCGGGATCTTAACTTTGAGCTACATTTTGGGTTTTTTTAAGGAAAAGTTTATCCCCCCCGGTGTGGATTTAGGGGTCATGTCATTTCTTTTTTTTTTCCACCTCTCATTCCAGTCCCAGGCGGGGAGCTCTCCCTGTTCCTGCCCCAGTCAAAAGTCATTATCCTATCTGACTAGTGCAGCAAACCGGAGCCGTTTATTAACAATTATGAACCCTGCATTCTAATATCCAGCCATCCGTGACAAGTTCAGCCAGGTCACCGCGTCACGGAGCACTCGCTGCCCCCCGAGCTGAAGATTCTGATCCTGCAGGATGAGACGGGTTCGGACCACCGGTGCTCCCCTGGAGCTCAACTGATCCCATCCGCGTGTTTCCTCCTTTCGAATCTTACTTTGAAACAGTTCTCACCCCCTTTTTTCCCATTTTCCTCTGTTTAAAGCACCACGGCACTAAATGCAGACGTGAGATTGAGCGGGCCCCAGCGGGCCCCTGACGGAAACCAGATGGAGGAGAGGGGCGGAGCAATCTCAGGATATAAGGCTTTTCCTCTGGGGAAACTCCCTCCTCGGTGCTCCAACACGACCAGGATGATGCAAAACTCCTGCTCCTGCGACTATTATGTTACTAAATGCGTGAGTCAGCGCGTTTTTTTTTCCGGGAGGAGAAATCTCCCTTTAAAGTTTATTGATAACAGATGATTCCTTCCTTCTGGGGCGTATCTGTTTGTTACCCGTTGCCTCCTCGTCTCGTCTGCCTGTTGTTATTCTTCCTTTTTCCCCCCCGAGTAGAATCGGGTAAAGTATTTGTAGAGCAGCCAGTGAGTCTTTCTTCCTCCCACGTGTCTGCTGGAGTGTGGAGAAAGTCGCGCCCTGCTCAGTTGACCCGTAAGTCGGTCGTCCTGACCGGACACGCCCCAGAGGAAGATACCGCTGTGTCCTAAAAGTGACCGGCCAGCTTTTAGGATGAGGTAACAGAGCGCTGTTTCTTTTAAAGCCGCAACTTACGGCGATTATTAATGATCGGCCATTTATTAAGTGCAGAAAAGGCCTCTCGAGAACACGTTTGACTCTTTCCCTCAAACCTAGAATGCAAAAGTTATGAAAACAAGTTGGTGCACAGATCCCATGAATACTTTTGACATTTCTAGTGTAAAAGTAATATAAACTGTATGGCAGTATTTTGTAAAGTGGAATGCTTGAAATAAATAGATTGCACAATAAACGATGTAGCAATGTTTCCGTTTCCAACTATCATTTATTTTGTGTTTTCTTTCCTCTGTGTAGGAAAACGCAGTCGATATAAAAATGAGAAACACAATCCTGGAATCCTGGAGCTCGGTCAAGCTTTTCTGTCACACGCCTCCCGTCGCAGACACACAGCCTCAAACTGTGGCGAGAACCCCTTGAACAAACACCTACAGCAATCCGCTCAGGCAGCTATTTCCAGACTCACAAGAAGTGCAGAAATATGGAATTATTCATAACTGTCTGAGTGAGATTCACATCGTGTCGCCTGCATGACACATTATTGATCTTCTGCCACCATCTGTGACACAAAGATCACACAACACGTAATACACAATATGTGAAGATGGCTGCGGGAGGCGGGATATTTACGTATTGAGAATATCACAGCAAACTACTCTGCTCTCTGTACTTCAAAAAACGTGACTCACTTCTGTCTAATCAGGATTTGCCTGTGGTGAAATTCATGATGTGATTGTAGTGTGACTCCCCTTTATTGGGGAACACTGGGCTTTTATTTTGAAGGTGAAGTCATTATTCGATTAGTCCTTAATTGAATTATTCGTTATTGCATTAGACTTCCTTCTATGTAAAGCTGGATAACTTCTCTCATTGTCTGTCACGGGGGCCATAGTAACACAAAGGTCATGTGACACCTCTCTCCCAACTGCACTTCACCCCCCGATGAAGACGTGTCGAGTCGACAGACGTTGGTTATGCCTCCTTAAAAAATGCTTTGCTAACCAACACCACGGCCTCCACCAAGAGATCTCTACTCCTCTTTAAAAGTTTGACTTTTTTATGCGAACGTTTTAAGCAACATCAGCAATTTTAGGGAATCAGTGGCATCAAATCCTAATGACCTCGAATCAAACAGTGTTTATAGTCAACAGCTTCATCACGGGTTGCATTCCTTTGTGCTAAAGACAGAATGTTTTAAACCCTATTTGAGTTTGACCTTAGAAGCATGGAGCTTTAGTCCGTAAATGTTGTTTCTTTTCATCTAGCAACTACTTGTGTGCCCCCCCCCCTTCCCCAGGAGGTTGAGAATTTGTGCATTTCATCACAATGCGACATCTCACATTTACATCAACCTCTGCAAAAAACAAAAAGAATGTAAATGGCGCCCAGTTGTCTTTAGGACCAAACGTGCGGTAATGCAATTCAAACATTAACAGCTTAAGTGGCGCTTTAGGAAAACAAGCGAATCTTTGTGTTCCTGTGACGGGTGGAGCTGATCTTTTGTTTGCGGTTCGCTGCTGACGCGGGGCCTCGGTGTCTGGTGTCAGGGCGTCCGCAGCATCAACACCTCCGCCTCACCGCTGGCTTTTAACTTAGGAAAACAATTGTTGACTCTCACATTCCAAAGATTAAAACGGGGGAAGGAGGAGGGGAGATGGGGGGGGGGGGCTGAGCCACGGAACCTGGCAGAGTGGAGTCGGGTGAATTAGCTGCTCGGGTAGCTTGATCCTCCAGAGGATCCGAGCGGGGACCGAGGAATTACTTTTGTTTGATGGGTGCCGGTGCGAGAGCGCTTAATAAAGACGGCCTGGTTCTGCCCGGCTGGGTGAATTATGCACAAAGCTGCCCTCTGCTTTTGAGGTGATTACATCTCGGAGTCGGACCACTGCAGCGAGGCAACTGATTACATTTTCATTTCCTCCCTCCCACATGTCCATGATGCATTAAGTTGTTTGGGGAAATTCAAATATATTAATGATCTCCGCGCTGTCCTGAAGTTCTTTAGTTCTGAAGTTCTGAAGTCTATTCAGGAGAAGCCGAGCAAAGATCCTCCCGTTGAAATGTGCATCGAGGCCACGTGCGGTTTGATCTGCTACAGCAAAGATAAGTGCAACAAACAGACATTCATGGCAACACTGTTTCTCTTTTGGAAAGGAGCGAGAACTGTGCTGCCCGAGGAGACGGCCTCTGGTCCTCCTGATATCTGCTCTGCGTGTTTGTGACCACGTCGCTTTATGCCACGAAAAAGCAAGATGGTCCGAGGACATAAAAACCCTCTTGCAAACTGTGTCTCACCTTTTCCGTCCCCCGGCCCGCCTGTACTGTATCGGCCTCGAGTCATTCCCCCGGGTGTCGACATGCCAGCGTTCCAGCAGATGGACAGAAGAGCAAAAAACATCTGGAAGTGTTTCGGGCGACGGGTCAATCCTCTCAGGCCTCCTGCCAACTTGAAGCGGACAAGGTTCCCCTTACACACACACACACACACACACACACACACGAGTCTATAAACTCAGATTTAAATGAACAGGGGAGATTTGGGCTTTGTTTCCCACGGTCAATCTGGAGGATGTGACACGTCGGGCGCAACTATGCCGCAAATCTGTGAGGAAACCCATCGGTCAGACTACTTCGTCATGGAGTTTAAAAGATGTGTCACGGATGGAACGGAAGGAATAACGTCTCCTCTGTCTGACGGGGGAAACACTCACCGCCAGACGCAGACAGCAGATCTGGGAGCGAGACTGACTTGGCACCAGCGCAGTCCTCTTCCACAGCGCTGGCATGTCTGTCCACTCCACTGGGTTTTTTAATGGACCATTCAAGACCCCAAGAGTGTGTGTGTGTGTGTGTGCTTACTGGTCTGTTTGGCCCGACACTTTCGCCTAAATAAAGCGGGAGTGTTTCAAACACGAGCAGCAGAGCGCGGCGGGAGGGCGGATCACCGACTCGCCCTGCTGAGTCACATCACACGCTGCTCTGCAAAACAGGAATCACCGGCAACGTGTTAAATATACTCTATACTTTATTACGTAGTTTGTTTTTGATGTTCCGGCAACCAGGACGACAAAAGAAGTCAGGTCAAACCACAAGTCACCAGTCGTTTTATTACACTTGTGATTCTTTAAAAGGCATATACAATATAGTTACATATAATTATAAAAGTCTACAGCAAGACTGCGCTCCTCTTTCAATTAAACGACTGAAAAAAAAGTGGATTTCCTTTAAAACCGCACAATCAGCAACGCTGAAGGCTTTCACGGATTGCTGACATTCAAACCACCTGAACCTGCAGCTGTGAGGCCGATCCCCCCCCCGGACCCTCCAGGGGCACCGCGGCGAAGGTACACGACAGCGCTGTGCCCTCAGCTGCACCTCTTTGTCAGGAATCACGTCAAAGTCGAAAGGTTCGACTGTATATCGATTTGGACAACAGCTCCGGATAAACTCCGGGTCCACGGCCTGTTTACGCGCGCCGAGTAAAAGGTCAGGAAACAAAATGAGCGCAGATCAGCGGGTCGCCAACGTCGGAGGCTCCGCGGCACTTATTTGCGACGCTCGGACATTAATGAAGGTTAATTGTGGACAAGGTGTCAGGTTTGGGCAGGTGGTTATAGAATGATTCAAGTATTGAAATGCTCATCATGCGAGTGTGGCAAGAAGAGATCTACAGACCGTATATGGGATATATATGTGTATACATGTAATACAATGACGAGTAACACCCACGTTCACTTGCTCAGCGAGAGCCAAATGAGACGAACGATACCACTCTCATGTCTGTGTGGAAGTAGAAGATACAACCAGCAGATAAGTTCAGCATTAAGAAAAACAAGGTTGCAGCTTCATGTGGAACAAACGGATATGAGAGTCTTCTCATCTCACTATATGAGATAGAGAAGACTCCCAAATCTCTCACTCTCCCTTTAATCATTTCCATAAAGCATCACATTCAAAGTCAAATAATGAATCTTAGTGGTCAACTGAAGTGTTGATATTATGAGCAAAGCACAGAAGGTTTTGTACTACGCTGGATGATGTTATGGAACGTGTGTAGTGGGTTATTAAATAATAATATGGTCCCATTTTAAACCATGTACATGATGCACCAACGATACTTAAGGTTCTGGATTCATGACAGGAAAGCGTAGACGTTGAATTGTGGAAGAAAGCGATCCGCTGTATCTTTTTTCTTCTTCTAATAAAAAGGTGCTGCTACGTCTGTCAGGAGCGCATGAAGTCCACCACTGACCTCTGAGACGCTCCAAAGGCACAACTCAGCACAGTGAAATGAGTGAAAGTGACCCTGAGAGGGGTCCTGCATATCAAAGCAGATAAGGCACATCTGGCAGGCACACTTTCAGAACTCGGTAGTCCGGCCGTGCCGGAGATCGGAAGCGTTTGCCGCTGTTAACCCGCGGAGGAAAGTATCGTCGGGGGAAGGAGACTCCAACGCGTCTGGTTCGCTTCACAACACGATGCCCTCCACGTCACAGCTCAGCACCTCGTCGTGTTGGACCTGGCCCAGTTGCCGGTGAAACTGTCCCTGCTTCTGGGTCCTCCAGCAGTGGACGCTTTGTCCCAGTGTGATGCTCTTAATACTGGGCAGATTGCTCAGCATGTTATTGGGCAGGGACGCCACACCGGAGCCGGACAAATTCAGCTCCTGCAGGGAGTCCCAGTCCGCTGAAGACCGCCGGGCTCAGAGTCTTAAGCTGCGGGTTATTCGAGAGATCAAGAACCTGGAGGCTCCGCAGGCCCTTGAAGCCGCGTGCCCGGATCTCCCGCAGCTCATGGAGGCTGCTGATGGACAAATAAACCAGATCCGTCAGCTCGGCGAAAGCTCCCTCCTCCACCCGCGCGATGGGGTTACCGTCCAGATTGAGGTACCTCAGCGAAAGCCCCGCCAGCCTCGGTACGCTCGGCAGCCGGTTGGACGACAGGTTCAAGCTCTGGACGTGCAACACTCTGCCGCGCGAGGTCGCCGAGACGGACGCGAGCTTGTTGCAGGACAGGTCCACGCTGACGGGCTCACCGCTGACCTTCGTAGCGAACACGTCCATGTCGAACTCGTGGAAGCCGTTGTGGCTGAGGTCGACTTCCACCAGAGGGATGCCGGCGAAGCAGCTGGTGGAGAGGCTCTCCAGGCGGTTGTGGCTCAGGTCCAGAGTCTCGAGGTAACGCAGCTTGGACAAAGCACTGGGTGTCACCTGAGGGTGGAGCAATAAAACCATACAATGAGTTTTCACATGTATGTAAAAACATTTTTTATGTTGTAAGAAAACTTTTATATTTCTAATCCTGCACTGTTATCAATATACACAAATATTACTACTAAATCTTTCAACTATTAAACACTGGGAGGGAACTAAACAATAAAGAAACCTAACCGCTGGATAACATCTATCCAAAAACATTAGTTGAAGATTGTGTGCAAAACATATTAGTCTGCAGCACCAACTATTATTAATAATTAATACATATTCAACTTTCTGTGAAGGAGAATGTGTAAAAGTTTAACTCAAAGCTTAAACGGCCTCGTTACAGAGCAGAACAGTCGTTCCTGGAGCTCCTCAGCACACGGACCTTTGTTATGAGGTTGCTGCTCAGGTCCAAGCTAACCAGGGTGGTGTAGCCCGGCCCGGCCAGCATGCTGTCGCTGAGCGGGCCCAGGGCGTTGGAGGACAGGTCGAGGTGGGCGGTGTCCAGCGGGATGGAGATGGGCATGGGGGTGTCGGGTCCCAGCCCCCGGCAGTCCACCCTGGTCAGGCTGAAGCTGTCGAACAGGCCGAAGCTCTCCACCTCGCAGCGGCAGTCGCGGTGGCAGTTCTTGACGCCGCTGGACTGGACGGAGGCCAACAGCGACATGCCGAACCAGAGGAGGAGCGCCATTGTGCTCTGGAAGGGCGAGAGAGAGAGAGAGAGAGAGAGAACATGATATTTAGACTGCCACGCCCATAGGAGGTAGAAAAGGTTTATCTTCATCGCGCTCAAATATGCTTTCGGGAGAAAAGGTACACAAGCTCAATCTTAAAAAGTACACCTCGTCCATGTTCCTTCAACGAACACCTTGTTTCTGTTTTGACAAAGTAGAGGAACAGTTCCTACTCAAACGGCATCGTCGAGGTGTTTATCAAGCTTTTATTCGAGCTACTCGGGTAGCCCCAACTTCCCTCCCCCTTCGCTTCCCCGCAGCCGTGAACCTCTTTGATCAAAGCGTTTGTTTGCACTTTCCTAGTTTACTGGCTAGAATTGAGCACGCACGGTGGTGAAAACAAATGACTTACAATCAAGGCCCCTAAAAATATCTTCGTCCCGTCTTAAAATGAAGAAAATGCTAAAACACTAGATCTGCCCACTTCCCGAGCTAATCCTCTGAGCCGCAGAGCATTAAGACAAAAAAAGAAAAGAAAGCCAAAAATAGTCTCTAAAAAAAGTAATTGAGAAGCAGCAATTTGCCTCAAAGTGTAAGACTTTAACATTTAAATTGATTCAAATTGCAGCATGTGCACACATTGTACGTGTCCTATTTCCACCGTACCTTCTTTTTCAGATGTTGCCGCGTCCGTTGTTGTCGTCTCTCGATGTGCAAATGAGAGCCGAATTGACCTCACCCAGAACGGCTCCAGCAGCGTGCCCACTGCACACGCGCATGCACGCATAACGTGCACACGAGTGCGAGAATTGGACAGAGGTTAAGAGTTGTGTAACAGGTAGAAAGGAACAGTCACGCTCTACTGGCCCCGGGCATGACACAGCAAAGTGTGCGTTAAAAAACATACAGCGCAGAGTTTTACAGCTTACGTCTGTAATGAAATAAACGCGACACGACAGTGAAAGATGTTCAGAATTACAAAGGAAAGGGAGTAGTTGGTATGTTCTGGCAAGAAAAAGTTACATAATAATCCTCTCTGACATTTGCATTTAACTCTTTTTGGGAACGTGCAGGGAAAGTGAAATATCTAACGTGGGTTCTGCTTATGTAAGGGGAGGAGGTCGCATGGCTGCGTGGTACTTATGGGTGAACACGCGCAGCCTGATTAGCGTGGCTCAAAGTCCACTTACACAGAGCTGATCACCTCTGTGCAGCGTTTCCCTTGCTGTGACCCCTGACCTCCCCGACTACAGCCAGCTGCTGACGGCGAATACGTTTAGGATGTCATCAACTCAAAGATGTCATTCTAAACGACCCAATCAGCTGCATTCCTGAGCACGTGAACCATAAAGACATGCACTTTGTCTTTAAGAACAATTTTATTCACTAGTATATTTTCCTTCACGTTCAATACTAATAACACCTGGTTTTGTAAACCTACATAATATACAAAATAAAAAGTAACCATCTGAGTTTTTTTTTTTTTAAACTGTGATCTCAGTGAAGGCCGGAGAACTCGCTGCATGTTTGGACCAATCGGGAACGGGCGAGTATTATGACAAATTTAAAATCGAGCAGAGTACACAAATCTTTTATTTGTCAACTAAATGCAACAAGAACTTCTTCTGGTCGAGCGCTTCAGAAGCAAAAAGGTCCACGAGTGGTTAAAACCGCACAAACCAGAGGATTTTTTAAATATTGTCACGTGACATGCTAAGTGCGGGAAATTAACACATACTTACAGTTGCCAGTTCTAAACTATTTTATGTCACACCCTTAGCTGTCATAAAAACAATATGATTAAAGGTCCTTCTCGGCCCTCCCCCGCCATTAAATTTTGTTTCACCTCCGGCAAACGGCCGGGCTCAAAGAGATCCGCCCCACAGAAGCAGCCGTAGAACGGACTAAACCTGGGAACGTGACAGTAAAAATAACATGTGGTTGTTTAATCTTTTTTCCCCCTTCTACCACACTAGTATTCAGCAGCTTATCACCTCGGTGCTGCTTTTATAGCCCCATTTGTGCCCCCCACCCTTTTCTTTCCCTGCATCCTTCGCTCCATCTGTCGCCACAGCAAAGATAGTGGACCAGGTGTTCCTCTCTGCCATAAATCTCGACCAACAGCGAACCACCGCCGGGAAATTGGACACGTTCTAACGACCGCGTTGACCAAAAGGCAAGCGAGCCCCTCTGAGTGGACAATTGGCACCAAAGGGCCCGTGAGAATCCCGCCCCAGAGACCTCCTCCCTCTCTGAGGCCGTTTCAGTGCGCCTAATCCTGGGACCCGCCCCCCCCCCCCCTCTCTGAGGAGCGTCAGTTGTTTATTAGTTGAGGGACCCCCTCCTCCACCTGACGCATCTGCACAGATCCTTTTTCACGGCACCATTTTGTTCTTAACTACAATTTGCCTGTTTACTCTTGCAGAAAACTCTCGCTGTGAAAAGTCAAGTTATCGTAGTGTGTTATCGGTGTAAACGCAATCATTTCATGTGTCAAAATGCATAATAAAAGCCCCGGGTTTCGTGGCCCCACGAGCGATACGCTTATCTAAATTTGTTTCACGGATAAGGTATGGTATTTCTCCCCCCCCCCCATCAGGCTTTTCTTTATCTAAATTGATGCAAAACCACACATTTAAAGCCAAAGACGAAGTTAACATTGCAAAGCTATTATCGACTTAGTTCTCCCATTCAACACATATATTCTGATCTTTGTCAAACTGCCGGTCCTGCATTAGTTCCATATCACGCAGTGATCTGATGTATTCGTTGTGCCCGCTCCGTCCCAATTTAATCCTCAGGTTGAAGGCTGAAAAAAACTGTAATGAGAAGATCAATGCCGAACGAATCCTTTCAAGCCAAATGAATGCACAACACAGAGGACAAGGCAGTGAGTTTAAATTAAATTGCGCTTACTTAAGCGTTTTAAAACATTAAAAGCAACACTGGGACGCTTACGGCTGCAATAAATGCGCAAGCAAGAGCACACAAATTCATCAAAGCACATTAATCAACGCTGGAAGACAGTGAGGAAAGAATTACTGGTGTAGCTGACGGCCTGTTTCCTGAGCACGGAGACCACTTTAGTTAATGAGACAAGTACCTTTTAACTGCTTTGGCAAGAATGTACATGAACGTACATTTTGTTGTGTGCTTAAGAAAGGCCGGTGACTTTTTCGATCGTCTATGATGTCGACGATACCGATCATGTTAAAATTCTTGTTTGTTGACAAGCTGACAAAAGTTGACAACCAGCTGCAAGCGGCCTGCGCATGCGCATATCTTAGGTCATCATTTCTACTTTTTCATCTCACAATTATGGCTTTCTTAAGTCATCATTTTCTAACCCTTCTTTTGTTGTGGCGGAAATGCGCTTCCATACATTCTAGTACTGTCTAGTACGTTACTTCAGTAAAGTTTTGAGGTACTATATTTGCCGTGAGTTTTTCCATTTCATGCTACTTTATACTAAATGTCTATGGGTTATATTGTTATTTTAACCCAACTGCATTATTCAAACAACTTCAATAAGTTTTTTTTTTATTTTTGTGGATTCTACATCTGTGATTGGATGAGAAAATGGTAATATGTATGTGTGTGTGTTTTCTCCTCCCGCATCATGAAAGTCGTACCAGCTGTGACACCGCAGTGAGTCTGCGTTACCGCCGCGAACCACCGCTGGGGAAGAGTCACCCGGCCCGGCACAGGGGTCAAATTTCCCGCAGCCGTTCGTGGCGAAGCGCGGAGGCAACGGAGGATTCCGCCGAAGCCTTTCCCCCCCCCCCCCCGAATTAACCCCTCATCCTCCCCAAAAAACGTTATGTGTAACGTAACGTTACCCCGCGAGAAACGTCACTAACCATCGCCAACACCAACCCCCGCCCCCCTTTTTCCCGCTGTCAATCACCGCTCCACATGTGTCCCGCCGCGCGCGTCGTTCGCCAGAGTTTACGTGCTCCCCAAAAAAAAGAAAAAAAAAAAAAAGAGGAAAAAAAAGTAACTTTGTGGAGACACGCGACGGTTCCGTTAAACGCTTTGAGTCGAAACGGTCACTATTGGTGACGGCTCTCGCCAGTTGAGAGTAACGTTAACTTACTTTGCTGCCTTTCATCCAGGGGGGGGGGGGGGGGGAGGGTTTTTGGGCGTTTCTTTTTTTCTTCATTCTTCTTCACTTCACCGCTCCCATTTTCCAGACCCCCGCTGCGCCGCCGCGTCCCGGCTTCCGTTCAGTCGATGCGGCCGGGCTCCATGAGCTCCGCTGGATCCCTTTCAGCGCAATTATGAGCTGTGCGGAGCCTGGGAACACTGGGACGCGCTCGTCTCTTCCCATCCCACAAAGTCCTGCTTCGGCTCGTTTTTTTTGCCACCGTCGGTCAGCGCTCAAAAGGACAGCACTTCCTGGGGATAGTTTTCCAAAATAAAGCGCAGTGATTATTTTCATCGTCTTGGAAACTGTTGCTAATCAAAACTAGCATTGGCACTTAGCTTAGCTAATGTTGTTAAGCTGTCGTAGCGGTTACATTCATTTGGAAAGAAAACATGGACGCCAAGTTGAAAATGCATTGTCGCAGATGCATAACATTGAAAGAATATACAGTGAAGTTCTCACAACACATATTGTCACGTAGCAACATAGCGTCAAGGCAATATCATTAATAATGTTTCTCGTTTCAACGTAACGCTTTTAATTTGTAAGGCCCAAGAGAGTAACTTCCGGTCTGGGGACAACTTTTAAGTAGTTTTGACGCTGCCTGCCGGTGCGCACTCTAGTGGAGACACCGCAAACAAACCCACATGAAAAAGAAAAGCTTGCACAACCATGCGGGTTGTTTTGTTTGGCCTGAATGAGACATTTCGATGAAACTGATTAAAACATCATGTGAACGGAAACTATGATCTTTCCTGTTGCTGCGCACGCAGCCTGTTTGGCCTATTTTTTTTTTTTTACAGCTGACCATTTAGTGTCGAAAGAAACTTTTGCTAAGACAGAATCTGCAGGTTTTACATTATGTAGTTAATTTTAAACTGTATGCACTTTTTCATGTCATTGATATGACATGTGTCAGAATTTCCAAACACTATTCTAGACTGATATTAGGCTACAGGAGAGCCAAACACAACCTATATAAGGTTACATGTGTTATTACAACAAGTTCTTTAGAAGAGCCAGGTCAAGAGTTCAATGGGGAACATCTGTTGCAGCTCATGCAACGCTCTTCATCTGCATCCCTTAAGACATTGCTGTCCTCGTGAGAGCATGACAGCATACAACCAGTGCAGGTCTACATACATACCTGCACGCTCACGTGTTCATGTGTAGTTATCCTGAAAAGAAAAACAAGATCATGTGTATGTTCTCCGAAAGTAAAAATGCATGCAATGCAACAAACAGCAAGCTGTAGTAGAAGGGGGAAGCAATTTTGACGTGTCAGATAGTGTTGCACATGTAGCTACTTGTATGCACCAACTGTTAGATTGAATGATAGTAAAGATAAGGAAGAGGCAGAAAAGAAACATTTCCAGTAAAACACCAATGGTGAGAATCCTGAAGCAGACCAGGCCAAAATTGACATTACGGATACATTAATAAACATTAGCGTTAACACCCGCGTTGAAAGATTGAAAAGAAATAATGCCACTTGAACATTTTTGTCCTTCAAGTAGTTTCCCACAAATCCTCACAGCACACCGAACTCCTCTTGTGACAATCAAAGCGCAAGTGAAAGTTACAATTGTGCACAAAAGGCCTACAATAGGGAACATTACTTGTTTGAATGTAGCAGAAGGGTAAATAACAGTGAGAGATAGTGCAAGTAGAAAGTTAGTAGTCTTACATATTTAGAGATCCACTCCCTTTATCCCGGTGTCCCATACAGTAAGACTTTTTGCCACTAGATGGCCCCAGAGCTAAAGTCATCCTGTAATAAAGTCTCCCGTCTGCAAGCAACATGGAGAAACCAGCCACAGAGAACCCACTCTTAGAGATAGGAGAGCTTTCACTCAAGGGTAAAAAAAACTGCTATTTCATCACTTGTGTTTTTCCCCCCACCAATATCCTCATTTATATATTTTTTTAAATCACATCATGCATATATAAATATGTGTATCATGCAGTTCTTCTCCTCCTTGTTCCACACTGACATGTTTTGGGAGGCTGTATTTACCACCAATTTAATTAGATTTTTGTTCATCATTATTCTATTATACATTCCTGCTTGTGGAGACTCGTGTTTCATTCCTCAGTGTCTGACAGAGAGGACAGATATGGTCTCGGGAGGAGCATCAGATGTGTTGTGTTCACCGCTCACTGGGTGGACGTATAGCGCTGAGTCGTCACTTCTGTCCTTTATTCCTGTATACGGGACAGCGGCGTCGAGGTGTTACGTTTAAGAGGCTCATCAGCTTACGTGGGATATAGGTCGACAAAGGTGGAATCACTTACCAGCTCCATGTCGACAATATCAGGTAATATTCCTGCATTGTGATGTTTATTTACCGACTCGTTGTCACTATCCACTTTGAAGCAAGTTTTTGACATGGAATATCCTCAAAACGCACACACACACAGACACAGAAACCACAAACCAGAAACAAGAGGCCTCTGCAGCCTGATGTTGGTTTCAGGTATTCACCATAGGTTAACCCAAAATCCAAAATTCTTTGAGGGCTCTATAATCTCAACCTGGTTGCCAAATTTAGCAGATTATTGTTACTGTAAGAAAAAAGTAAGATAAATAAAAGTAATTAAATAACAAATCAACAAATAATAGGAATTACCACAATGCAAACATATGTATATATATGTCATTGTTGTAAGCTGTTTATGCCGTGATCAATCAACAACCTTTCAAAAGCTTATTTATTTAAACTTATTTTACTTATATTCAAAATTACTGGGTATTTCTTTTTTGCGTGTCTTTTCCCATCATTATTCAGCCAAGGATCATTTCTGCTTTATACGTGTTAAGACTCTTTGCAATTTGCTGTATTGAAGACGTTTAACATTCTTAAAGTCAGAAGAGGCCACTTCATGCTTGGGATATTATTTCCTTTTCTGGGGCTGTTTGCTTAATAGTGATCAGAGGTCTGATCACATCACTGCATGGTCTCATGTGGTTCTGTTAAAACAATGTTCTGCCTTCAACGCTGTCATCCACGGTTGGTGTTGTGGCAACCGGCTCTTCCTGGGCTCATTTGCCAGGCCGGGCTGCGTCACCTGGTGGGGTCTTTAGTAAAAAAAAAAAAGAGCTGAAAAGACTGACGCAGGCAGAACAGGCAGCAGATCTCCGGGGACCCTCAGAGAGAGCCCTTCGTTATCTTTTAATTACCAGGGTCCAAATTGACTTCATCTGTGGAACCTGCTGCACTGCAGGCGCATTAGACCAATTAAAGCGCGGTGCAGGTGTCTTCGTGCAATGTGGGTGAGGTGTCTCCTGGGCAAGACAAACGACATCGGGGAAGGTGTGTTTTCTAAACATTTATTTTTATATAAGCACGTGGAGGTCAAGGCTATAGGAGCATATCTTTATGGCGTTCGGTTGTGCTATCATCATGATTGATACTAAAGTATTTGAGTATAATGACGGGCGTGGGGTCTTATAGCCCCTCCAGTGGAGGCGTTTAGAGTAGACTAAGGCCTTCTGTCAATCCTCTTACATTGTGTCTCACTGAAATGGATTAGACGGTAACACCTACGTTTTGGCCACGGGTCACTTTGGAAGGATTTGATTGATTGGGCCTGTAGCTGACACCAACATCCTATACTGACAATACTTCAAATACTCTTCCAATTTTAAACATCACGGATTTTCTTTTTTTAGGAATGTTTGTTCCTTTTGTATATTTTAAGTTTTGACTATATCCAGGACGGATGCGATTTCCTTTGTCTTTTCTTCATGCGTCCCGCGAACCAAAGCGTTTATGGGAACGCGCGGGAGCCTCCGGAGGCGCGGACTGCGGGACGTAAGTAGCTCTCCAGGGTGCTGAACTGGTCTCCAGAAAACGCGCAGAACGCAGCGCACCGGCTCCCCGGTCGTCACTTTCCGCCCGTGGTCCGGACGCGATGACTCTCCGCCGGATCGACACTGGGCGTCGTCGGGGGTGAACGACATTTTTGGGAGATGGTGAGGTGACGGTGTGTGTGGCTTCACAGCAGTAAATCCGAGAGGACACCTGTGCGATTGTCTCATTGGACCCCAAAGCTGCCTCGATGGCACCAAAAATACGGCAAGTAATTAATTTAAACGACTTCATTATGCCTCATCAAAGCCATTTATTAAATAAATACAACAGTTTTGTTGTGCCCATTTTGCAGGTGTAACCTCGTTTAATTGATTGTTCAAAGGTGAACAAAAACATTCACCGCCTTGGACACCCTGTGAGGACAATGCAAACTATTCATCCGCATTTCAGAGGGGCGCTATGGGAGTCCAACTATCCATGTTTGCCCATTAAAAGCAGACCAACTTTAACAACAACTCCCTTTTATAGCTTTCTGTTATGGGTCCTCATTGGGGTGTTGACGTTCCCATGCTGTGTCCGCTGTTTGATATTCAAAGTGGGGGTCCTGGGGCCTTGGAACTGCGACCCCATATACTACCGGGCCCAGCCCGCTGCGGCCGCCAGGCTGGCTGTAAACCGGATAAACGAAGACTTAAATCTGGACCTGGGCCTCAAAATAGACTTCGTCATCCTGCAGGAGCCCTGCGAAACCTCCAGAGCCCTCACGGCGTTCATTAACAATGAGATGATGGCCGATGCGTTTGTGGGCCCCACCAACCCCGGCTACTGTGTTGCAGCCTCTCTGCTGACCAAGAACTGGGACAAGGCCATCTTCTCCCACGGCTGCGTTAACAACGAGCTGGACCGGCTCATAGGATACCCGACCTTTGCAAGGACCGTGCCGTTTCCCGCCGACGTGTTGTTCGCCGTCTTGAAACACTTCAGGTGGGCCAGCATTGTGGTGGTCTCGTCCAATGAGGACATTTGGAAGGATACCGCTGGGAGAGTGGCTATTGCTCTCAGGCAGAAGGGGCTTCCCGTTGGCCTGGTAACATCCATCGGTCTCAATGAGACGGAAGTTGAGGGCACACTGAGGAAGATCCAGGCTGCAGGAGAGATCAGGGGTGAGTCTGCGCTGACACTAAAACAGGAGCCAATTGACAGCAAGGAAATAGGAGATTATTATACATTAATGTGATATCAAACGAGGTATGTTTAATAAATAATCATAACTAGTCAGTTTGTAGAAACATATGATATAACACCTGCAATATGTGCAGCGTTACAGCACTTGCGCAACTGCAAAATATCAAACCATGAGCTCAAACATCCTGTGCCCGTCTTTTTAAACCGGCTTATACCTCCACCATCCCACCAGGAAGCCATTTTGACACTTGAGATTTCATCTGGTTGAGTTGAACTGCGCACAGCATATTCATTTATTTTAATCAATAATAAGTTATAATTATTTGTGGTTTTGCTATAGAGAGCCTGACAAGATGTTAAGTTAAGGAAGCAATTTGACACCTGTAAAAAGCGGTTTAGTTTCAGATCTTTTACTGAAGTTGAATTATAGAAACATATGAAATAGGACTTTGTGACAACGTGATATGCTTTGTGACCTCCGAATTACAGTATCTCTTCATGAATTAAATAAATGAAACAAAGACCTCCTGTCACTTTGTTAAGTAGGTATGTTAGTAACTTTTCGAAAACATTTCAGTCCAAAATTTGAGTAGATTGAAACCTGAGTCATTATGGTACTAAATTCAATCACGTTCTCGACAAAACCAACATCCTCTTCTCCCTCGTCTGCCTCAGTCATCATCATGTGCATGCACTCCATCCTGTTGGGAGGGGAGCAGCAGGCCACCTTTCTTCTCACAGCACAGAAAATGGGCCTGACTTCTGGGAAGTATGTGTTTGTACCCTACGACACCCTCCACTACAGCGTGCCCTACACCAACGTCTCCTACTTCCCATTGCAAAACAACAGCCGGCTGAGGGAGGCCTACGACGCCGTGCTCACCATCACCATTGCCTCCGAGCCTTGGTCCTTCAACGAGGCGTTCGCCTCCGCCAAGATGAGTGGGGAAATAACGCTATCCGTGCAGCCGGAGCAGGTAGAAAACACGGGTTTTCTAAATAGTGAATGGTTACTGTACTTGTGAGGTGATCATACAGTTTATGAGCAATTGTTTATCCAAATGTTCAAATAGCGACATTTGCTCATCATTTTATGTATTGTATAATCCCTATCAATATTTCATAACCTGTAGATAACAAAAGTTTACCGTAGCGACAATTTGTTGTTGAGCCTCGATTCGTACAGGATGATTGAAGTATAAGAAATAAGGAGTGAACTCTGTGTTTTTTCCTGTGGCCTTTGCAGGTAACCCCACTCTTTGGGACCATCTACAACAGCATCTACCTGCTGGCCAAGTCCATCCACAATACCAGGAGAGGAGGCATGCCGCTGTCAGGCAGTAACCTGGCCTACTTCGTTAAGAACACAACGTTCACAGGCTTCAACCAGAAGGTCAAGGTGAACACCGGCGGGGAGGTGAAGACCAACTATGTCATCCTGGACTCTGACAACAGGGGGGGCAAACTGTACCAGACCTACCTGGTGGACCTAACGACGGGATCGCTTCGTTTCGCCGGGAGGTCCATTCAGTTTCCGGGAGGATATCCTCCGCCGTCCGACTCCAGCTGCTGGTTTGACGAGAACGTCATGTGCACGGGAGGTAAGAGGCTTCGGTGAACTTGCATGCATTTCCTCACAGTTACATGGCATCTTCTGCATACCTTTCCCATACAACGTTGAGTTACTGGTTGTCATTCTTCAGGTGTGGAGGTCATCTACATTGTAGTGGTGTTTGCTGTCATCTTCACACTGGCGGTAGCTGGACTCATCATAAGTCTTTATATCAGGTACAGTTCTCTTCCAAGTCAAACAAATGGATCCTTGTGTTTCTCTCCAGAACTTTACCCTGCAAATTCAAGCGGAGGGATTTTGGTTTCGAAGAAGATGAGTTCACACACTGTATGGTGGGCAGAGTAAGATTGAGAACGAGGTCCCGCGAAGCTTGAATCAGCAAAGAAAAGAAAGCGATAGTAGTTTTTAGTAGTAGTAGTTTCAAAGCACTTTAATCAATACTGTTGGAATAATATGGATGCATTTTCCAAACATACTGACATGAGTAATAGTATTAAAAGTCAAGTCCTGACCCTCATTCAGTGTCCTCCTATCTTTCTCCACTCTGTCAGGAGACTAGAAGTTGTTCTCATTTAGTCTAGGTTTTTTTTTGTTCATCTGTTACAAAGATGATCTTTGCCGTTGGTTCAACAGATTTTCATATCTTTGTCTGAATCTCATTGGCAGGAGGAGACTCCAACAGATCCAGCTGGTCAAAGGTCCCAATCGAATCCTCCTGACCTTAGAGGATCTCACTTTTATCAATCCTCAGCTTAGCAGAAAGGTAAACAAAACCCTTTTGCATTAGCTCCCGCCTTTCTTGGACACAACACATTTAATTTTTATTCAGAATCTGAGAAATCTTTTCCCGCTGCTGTTTGACGCCCAACAGAGAATCACTTTAGAGGACCTGAGCGAGTCCAAGAGTGCTCTTGAAGACAAATCTACCGACCTCTCGCACTCTGTTAACAGTATGCATACTGCAACCCATGAAAACACCAATGTAGCCGTGCACGAGGTACGTAACACTGAGAGAGACAATACAAGTAAGTATGTTGTAAGGGAGGCTGTGTTTAATTGAGATTTTTGATTCTAAGCTCAGGTTGAACTTTTCTTTGATGGGTTGATGGGTTCAAGTTAATTTCTATATAGTATTTATGTTTTTTTTCCTGGCAATTTTATTGAAAGCAAGATACATTAAGTGCCAAACACAGGTTTTCTTTCCTTCCTTATTACATATCCTAATCTTTGTAATCATCATTCTTTTGAATATTTTTTGATTATTTTCATGAATATTTCTGGAATATTTTCATGAATATTTTTTTGAATAATTCTGGAATATTTTCATGAATATTTTTTTGAATAATTCTGGAATATTTTCATGAATATTTTTTTTCACCAACCAATAACCCACTGGTTCCCTAAGAAGGTCACTTATTTTATTTTCCTGGAAATTTTGTAAAAAGCAAGATATGTGCTAGACACAAATTTTCTTTCCTTCCTTATTACATATCATAATCTCATATCTGTTGAGTCTGTATTGTCCAAAGGTTTTTGTCACCATTCTAAAAATACTTTAATTACTTGTATGAAGAAAAGGTTTTCTGTCAGGTTTTAATCAGGAATCATAACAATATCTCCCAATGTAACAACATGGCTTCTCTTCCAGGGCGACTGGGTGTGGTTGAAGAAATTTGAAGAGGGACAGTTCAAAGTAATGAAGCAGAGCACAACCAAGATTTTCACAAAGGTAGAGCAACAGCTCTCGTCTTATAAAATCCACCGCTAACACCTAAAGTAACAAATATGGTGTTACGATCACGTAAACGTCCCATGTTTTTCTCCATCATTCCATCGACATGTTCATCGGCTCTCTCAGATGAAAGACCTGAGAAACGAGAACGTGAATCCGTTCATTGGCTTCTTTTTGGACTGCTCCATGTATGCGGTGGTGACGGAGCACTGCTCCCGGGGGAGTCTGCAGGACCTGCTGAGGAACGAGGATGTCAAATTGGACTGGATGTTCAAGTCCTCGCTTCTGCTCGACCTCATCAAGGTAAACGCTGACATGCTCAACGTTTTGAAGATCTACTGGCTGTGGTTAATGTGCCCCTTGGGATTAACTCCACAGTTGAACATATTGTGCTTACAGGGTATAAAATACCTTCACCACAGAGACTTCCCCCACGGCAGATTAAAATCTCGTAACTGTGTGGTAGACGGGCGTTTTGTCCTCAAGATTACGGACTATGGCTTCAATGAGCTGCTCGAGTCTCAGAAAGCTGACATAGAAGAACCTCTACCTGAAGGTACCTTCTGCACTGGTAGTCTGAATGAGGTTGAAGGTGTCTTGACATCTCTTACAGCTGGTCTCATTTGCCCACCTATCTTTTCTCTTTGTCACTCAGATTTATTTTGGACAGCTCCAGAGTTCTTGAGGGATCTTGCAAACTCCCGCAAAGGCACCTACAAGGGAGACGTGTACAGCTTCTCTATCATCCTTCAAGAGGTGGTGGTCAGAGGTTCGCCATACTGCATGCTGGGTCTCCTTCCCGCTGGTGGGTATCCCCCAGGGGAGAAGAGTTCTAGATAAAGAGAAGCAGTCAAATCTGCATATCTCAAAACATGTCCTTGGTATTAACTAGAGTTTGATTTGATTGTCCGATCTCCTCCATCTGCTCACCAGAAATCATCCGTAAGGTGAAGAAGCCTCCTCCCATGTGTCGCCCCACCGTTGCTCCGGACCAGGCCCCCCTGGAGTGTATCCAGCTAATGAAGCAGTGCTGGAGCGAAATGCCTGAACGCAGACCAACATTTGATGAGATCTTTGACAGGGTACTCTTTTTGAGACATCTGGCCTTGTTGTCTCCAACCTTGCAATTGTTGCAAGGTTGGTTCAACCAGATTTTCTATTTTTTTGTTGGAGCAGTTCAAGATAATCAACAAGGGTAAGAAGACTAACATCATTGACTCCATGCTGAGGATGCTGGAACAGTACAGCTCCAACCTGGAGGACCTCATAAGGGAGAGAACAGAGGAACTGGAGGTGGAGAAACAGAGAACCGAAAAACTGCTTTCAGAGATGCTACCACCGTGAGTTTGTACAGACAAAGAAACCCCAAACATTTAGTGATTTTATGTTAAGGAAAATTTCTGCCCGTCTTCAGTTCTGTTGCTGAGGCGCTGAAGACCGGTGCTACTGTGCAGCCAGAGTACTTTGACCAGGTGACCATCTACTTCAGCGACATTGTAGGATTCACGACCATCTCCTCGCTCAGTGATCCCATCGAGGTGGTCGACCTGCTGAATGACCTCTACTCTCTGTTTGACGCCGTGCTCAGTAACCATGACGTCTACAAGGTGAGTGAACACGCTGAACATCTTAAGACCTCGCTGAACATCGACGACAGCACGCAATCAGCACCACATAGACACGCACGGATGTGGCCGTAACCGACCAGATATGTTGCCGCTATCTAGGTGGAGACCATCGGTGATGCCTACATGGTGGCATCGGGTTTACCAAAGAGAAATGGCAATAAGCATGCTGCTGAGATTGCCAACATGTCTCTGAACATCCTCAGCTCAGTGGGAACCTTCCACATGCGGCACATGCCAGACGTTCCCGTCAGGATACGCATAGGAATCCATTCAGGTCAGTATTTCTACAGCACGGGGAATATGAGGGCAACTGTGGGTGCTCTTTCAACTGAATGTCAGTCCTCAAAACAGTCTAAATCAGGACTGTCTGCAAAGATGAGTGTGCTTTAGTTTACACTTTTGCACAGTTGCGACACTGCAAAGCCTACACAACTGATCAATTACTGTGTCTGTTGCAGTCCCCATGCATCGCATCAATTCATCATTAATGTTTAAAATTATTTCCAGGGCCCTGCGTCGCTGGGGTGGTAGGTCTGACTATGCCTCGGTACTGCCTTTTTGGCGACACCGTCAATACTGCTTCCCGTATGGAGTCCACTGGGCTGCGTGAGTTTCCCTGTGCACCACCTCACTCTGTGCTGTTGCTTTGTGTATTTTTTATTTTTGGTCTCATGTCTTGGTCCTTTCTCGTTGTCCGTCAGCTTATAGAATCCATGTGAATATGACCACTGTGAAGATCCTGCGTTCTTTAAATGAGGGTTACAAAATAGATGTCAGAGGCAAGACCGAGCTGAAGGTAACGTCCACAATCATTGAGGCGGAGATCTAGCAGGAGGCTGTTTCAGGTCCCGCTGAAGATGCTTTGTTTTTGGGGTTTCAGGGTAAAGGTATTGAGGAGACATACTGGCTCGTAGGGAAAACAAACTTTACGAAGCCTTTGCCAAAACCACCGGAGATCAAACCAGGGTAAGAACTTTTGTATGGATGATTCCTATGATAATAACAAAATGTGTACAAATCCTTTCATATGCAGGGGTTCTAAAAAAAAATAGTTGGTATGAGTTCGACCAGAACGTCTTACATTATATCATAGTTTAATGGGGAAACTGTTACATTTTGTCAGTATTGTCGCCATGTAACCGCCTCTTGATCCAAATCACCACTGTGTGAATGTTAACTCAGGGAAGACAATCACGGCCTGAACCCTGAGGACATAGCTGAGTACAGGAGAAAGAAAGCTGAGAAGAAGGCATGACCTTCTTAGTCCAGACATGGGAGGTAGAGACCCGCATGCCAGCTGGTGTCGTCTTGTCGAAATGTTACTTCTGCTGTCAAAGTGTCCTGTGAGCTTGACCCCTCTCGTTGATTACCAAGCCTGTGATCTGCTAGTCTCATTAATCTCTTGATCTTATCACCTTCCACGTCTTCTTAAGCAGATTGAGGAAAGCCCTCTTTGTTGATTTGCTTTTATTGTGGGTGATTGCCGCTTATTTTTCCCCTCTTTTTCTGCTTTTTGGCATGCTTTCACTGTGTTTTTACGCTTCTGAATCACAAATGTCATTCTGAAACACAATATTGGTCTGAACTCTCTGCGTTTGCTGTAGGGACAACTGGCAGGAAATGGTCACGGAGGAGATCAAGACCCTTTTTCGCAAGGCCAACAGACAGGTGGACAAGAAGATCTGAATTAGAGGACAAAAAGAGACGTGAAGAGATGTGAAAAAAAAGGCAAAACCAGAGGAGAGGAGAGGAGGGGGGACGCGTCCAGAGAAAGACGAGAGACAGAGAGCACCACCCATCCTCTCGCTGGGGCTTAATGCAGACCTGTTTAAGAGGATTGTCCATCGACTGGCTAATCTGCCTGCAGCCAGCGCAGCAGAACCCGACGGTGCTAATGTAATGAGAGCTGTCGCATTACCTGCCTGCGTACCTGCCGACGTAGCAGCGCAGGGAAGGTGCACCGCTCCTCAGCGAAGGATGCTCTCACACACACACACACTCCTCGCTGCACTCACCGGCCACCGAGTGGTCACCTATTTCAGGGCAAGCAGAGGTTCACCCACCAGAAGATTGAACGCCCCAGACGGCTATTTCAGAATGAAATGTCATATTTTCTGGTGCTAACGTCTGGGTTTTTTTAGCGTAGCATCAGAGCTTGTGATGAGCGTCATGGGGGCCGAGGATGTAACTACGGCTGTGTATGTTTGTTATCCCTCTGAAGTATGGAGCAAAGGCTGCTATTGTATATAACAAACTGGTACTCTATTAGAGCAGAATGACAAAGAAGGGTCGGTCATGTCAATTCACGCACTTTCCATGAATCTTTTTTTTTTTTTGAGCTGTCAGGCCACAAAAAGGCCCATCTAGTGTTTAAATCAAGAACTCTAAGAAGCTTTGGATGGATTTTATATATGTATGTCAATTATTTAATAATCAGTGCAGAGAAAAGAGCATTAAATGCATGTAGGCTAAAGGGAACACCGTAGAGCACACAATACACTAAATAGACATTTACGTTTATACTTTTTAATGAAATGTATAGTTTTAACCGGAAACCAAAATATAAAGTCAGTTCAGCTTTCCTTTTTCTTTTGAAATAATCCCCTGCATCTCATCATGTTAATGGTGATTATAGAAGCAGCTTAATTCAAGCGCGGTGTGCAAAAAAGCACCAGACTCAGTCAGAAAAATGTATATTGTGTAATTTATCTTTTCCTTTAACTTGTGTTTCATCACTGCACTGCAAAGTATAAGGTGTATGTAAATAAGATGTCATTAAGTAATTAAATAATTAATTTGTAACAACTGCATTGGTTGGCCTTCCTAACGGCGTAACCGTTACATTTCCCTCTCAGCCCCCACAGGGTGGCGCTAAAGCTCTTACGCGGAAGCCATTTCTCTCTCAAAGGGATTACATCATTTTGCAAGGAAGAAGACTTTTTTGCTATAAGTTGCTATTAAATCATCAATACATGAAAGGACCTTAGATCATTCTTTTTAATCCACCCACTGTTGTTGTGCAGCTGACGCTTTTCTTTGCTGTGCTCGAACTGATTCCAACTCACCATGAGAACACTGCGCTCCGGAGCCGGCCTTCTCTCCGATTGGCCCGTCCCAACAAAGGTTCTGCTGGTTTTATTTTTGAGACAAGTTATGTTTGAGACCAAAATGTCGGGAAAGCCGTCTGTGGCAGATTAGAAACAACCCCTACATTCCAGACCTGGCAGGATTGTTCCACCAGCAGCCGACTGGAAAGATTGTTGTCCTTTTCTTTAGAAGGGAAGGATTATGCGATTACACATTCCTCTGTTCAACGGTCCAGAAGATTGTATCAACTCTGATCATGATGCGCGAGCAGAAGAACACACGCACAAAGATCCTCTTTGTTATTATTTATTAAAAATCAACACATAATTACATAACACACAATTCCAACAGCTTCTTTGTGGAAAACAGTGAAAAAAAAATGGCACAACGTGGTTGGCAGGTGAACATGTGTGAAGCACCAGACTGTCGCCAGCGTCCCTCTGCAAACCTAATTCAGTGCAGACCGAAGGCAAAAATAAAAAACTGAGTTCATGAAGTGCAAAGACCTTTTTTCCCCCTTAAACATTAAAGATGACAGAAGAAAGCGCACATGGTTTGCAATAGTGACAAAAACAGGATGTCGAAACTTAATATAAGCTGTTGTCCGCTTTTTCTTTATGGAGATCTTAAATGAGGAAAATATGTGGGATGTGGAATGTCATACGTCTGCGACCTTATGTTCATACAGAACTGTTCCCTGGGAAAGTTTAGTGCGTCCCGACACAGCGAGCTCAGGTGCTCAGTCCACAGGATGCCAATTGGAATGTGCTCAGGAGGTAACGGTCATACACCAAATATACACACATTGTTTCAGAATTAACAAAAGCTACCCGTAACAACACCGACATTATAGCTCATCGCGCATCTTGTCTCCTTTCGGTTTGACCACTCTGCCGATGTACAGGATGGAGTTGGTCTTGTTGTCTTTCACCAGGAACACAAAGGGGTGATCGGCGTAGAAAAGTCGTGGGTTCGTCAGCTTGCCGGAGCCGTAGACGCTGGTGTCGAAGGGGTTTCCCTTCACGTCCAGCTCCAGGGCCGAAGCGTGGAAGACGTTGGACAGGTACAGGTCCTTCTTCCCGGAGATGTTGGACAAGTCCGCCTTGGATTTGTCCACGGCCTCGGTCAGGCCAAGCTCAGCCAGATGTTTCTGGTAAAAAGACGGCCACAATTCATAAAGGGTTGTTGATTGACTCTCACATTAGTTTCACACTTGAATTCTGTATCAACCATGAAAAAAATGCCACCATTTACCTGCAGGTTGTGGCTGACCTCCAATGCGATTTTGGGAAGAGAAATGGCCACGGCGATGTTTTCCATCTTGCTGATCCAGGTGTCCACCTGCTTCCTGGTCAGGAGTTTTTCCAGGCGTGCCAGGGGCTCCAGGTGGTAGGGCATGATGAGGATCATAGAGGCCTCCTTCTTGCCCAGAGGCATGTTCAGCACAAAGAGGCGGTTCTCTTTGTCCTCGTGGAAGTCGTACAGACCTGCGCAGAGCCGACAGATTGGAGATCTCAGCTCGTTTTTGGCATTTTACTTGGCAGAAGCCGCCATGAGACGTTTGAGAAACTCACCAGTGCGATGCATCATGGGAACTCCCACGGTGAAAGAGCGGGTGACCAGGAAACCACGGTTGTCCACCATTTGATCATTGAATGTCTCAAACCAGTGAGCTGTGGCACAAAACACTCGGGTTACAAATCTCAATGGGTTTCAATTATAAACAAAAGACACAATCAATACTCACGCTTGAAATACATGGCGTTGACGATCATGGCCCCATCTGTGTTCTGCACATCCTTGGTGATCTCGGTTAGCTTGCCGTCTGTGGACTTGGCTGCCCACTCGTTGATGGAGTTCACTGCACTCCTCTTGTCCCGGAAGTTGATTTTTGAGTGGTCGTAGTTGTAGTGCTTCTTGCTGTTTTTCACAAAATCGTCAGCAAAGGAGACGGAGCTGGGGCCGTACAGGCGGTTATTGATCTTCCAGGTGGTGTTGCGCGACTTGGCGTCGCTCACCTGGCAAGGAGCAACGTATGACAGGTGTGAATGGAAGCACTGCTGATATCAGGGCTGCTTAGGGCTGGGTCCTCTCATTACAGTGAGGTCCCACATACGGTCTTTAAATATCGTTCCAAGTACCTCGGAGAGCAGCTCGGACAGGCCCGCGTGCAGATGTTCATCCTTGAGTTTGTCGGCACTGAGGACGGTTTTGACCTGGGAGGCGGTTGAGGCCTTGCCACCGAGAGCCACCATGCCCAGAGAGGAGGCCACCACCACCGGGGAGAGGAGGATGTTCTCTGTGTCTTTGTCCTTTGCCATGTTGTGGTAGAGGCTGAATTGAAAATCACAAGAAAGGTTATTTATTTGCTTGTGTTTTTCCAACGGGGATATAACAAAAAAATAATGCTTTAGAAAAAAGTGCACCATTTAAAGGACAATTAATCGTAACCACAGTAATGTATAGATGTCGGACCTGAAGGCCAGATTGGCGCTGTGGTCAGCCAGCGCGGTGGCGTAGCTGCTTAGCTTCTTTTCCTCTGCAGAGGCCACGACGGCCAGCAGACAAAAGGCTACAAGGTTAGTCATCCACATCCTGTCTGTCTCCAAAAGCAGCTGCGGAAGCCTGTGCAAAAGGAGCAAAAGAAAGAGGCGGGTTTAATATTTCAGAGCCGGGGCTTATTTGCTAAAAAAAAAAAAATCTAATTCATGTGTATTGAGTACGAGATCGAAGGCACGCGTCGGATTATGGAGAACAGCTTTATATATCAGAAACAAAATAGCAGGACGCAGACTGTGATTGAGGGCAGCTGTTAGAGGGGGGGATTGGCTCGGCCCACACAGAAGCTCGGGAACGCCTCCAGTTTTCCGGCAGACATGTTCCCTGCCACGTCGGCAGCAGCTCAGGCTCAGCTGTACAGCTGCAGCCGCCTTCTGAAATGCGATGCCTCTATTCTCCGCACCTATTGGCATCGATGTTACGCGTTGCACGCCAACTTTAAGGACTTTGTGATGAGCCACAAGAATTCAGGGATGCTTTTTTATCTCAGAAACAGGGTCTGTGCCTGCAAGTTAGATCTGACTCGTCCCGTTAGATCTGACTCGTCCCGTAACTGTCAAACCAAGGAACAAATGTAGAGGAGTGAAATGAACCCCCTGCATCTCTTAAAGCTTTTTTCATCCTCATCCACCATTCAGAGTTAGTGTTTTTGTCTGCATCTCTGTATTTGTATTTGTTTGTGATACAGCAGAAATGACTTTTCATCATGTTCGGATACCTTGAGAAGTTTTGATCTCTGCAATTTTCATTCTGAAAGACAAGAAGTGTACGTAACAATCTCCACAGAGCAGGCAGTGAAACATTAGACAGGCTCTGTGCTGCCCCATTTCTGCATTTCATGTCCTAGTTTACAGTCCTCACACTAAAGACATTTATTTGAGTCGTTATTACACAGGTAAGTCCTCCCTCCTTCACAATCAGACACTTGGATGTCTTTGTGACCCAATGGAGAAAAAGTTCATCATGTCAGCTGTTCAATAAACCAGTAAAAACAACAACAAATCAAAAATAACCACACCCGATGTGCAGGTCAGACAGCTGCAGAGATAGAAGAGATTTGAAGAGAACGCGTTAAAATGAGGGGAAAAAAAAGGAAGCTGCGAAAACAAAGACTCCCGTTCGGCCTCTGCATTCCTCCCTGAATGGGAAGATGGTTATCTTCTGATCCTTACCTGGCACAGATTCGCAGGGTTTCTCTTCTGAGTAGTGTGCTGTGGATAGTGTGGCTGCAGGAACTCGCCCCTGCTCTTTATAACCCGAGAGAGAACTTTCTAGAAGTGGGAATGGGATATTCAAATGAGGGTGTGCGTGTGTCCTCGGGAAGCTGGGACGTCCCCCTAGAACCCACAGGCTGGAATGAGGGGGGGCTGAGGTTAACTCCTCAGCACTGCTCTGGGCTCAGCTGGGAAACTTCCCTTCCTGCTTCTGCAGAAATAAACTTTGAGCGGAAATCTGATTGCGGGTCAGTCCAGACTGCTCACTCCTCCGCCTCAAGGTTCTGCTTGCTGACTCAATCTCCAACACTTATTTCATCAGATATAAAATACTTTGAACTGAATGATTCTTTTACATAAAAATCAGTTTCATGTAAATTGTTACATAAACACAGTTTTTGCAGTTAATTCGAGCACATGAGGCCACTTTGGGGCCAAACTCCCCTGAAATCTCCGCCGGCCACACGTCAGTGAATGTGTTGCATTGCCTCTAATTATCCAAGAAAGAGGGGCGTGGGTTTTACATTTTGCTGACGTGGAACTTCGAATGGAAGAGTCCAGAACCCTAAAAGCCTCACTTGGTGGTGTTGCTGCTTCCCAGTAGATCTCCAGCCCTTCCCCCACCTCCACAGTGCCACGTGTGTCCGACTCGGGGTTTGATTGCAGAGCTGCAGGAGGACAGGGCTTCAAAGGAGAGACGTCGCCCTAAGAACTGGTGGTAAACTGGTTGGTACAATGGTCTGCATGGTCATATCAAAGTTGACCAATAGTTATAACGATACTTTTTATTTCCCTGTTTCATTTGTGTTAAGAGCGGTAAATTACCCCCAGTTCTTTATCCACCATAGAGGAAGAGATTCGATGGAAAGATGAGTTGTTCAGCACGTTCAGAGTAAATGTTGACTATTTTCCAACCAAAGGAATTTTACCAATTTTTGAATCCCCAATGCCAACATGGCGAGGGACTGTTTTTTTCTGTGACTTGTTGGCTCATGCAACCAAAAAGTTCTATGACGCTTTGAAAAATTCCTCCACGACCCTCTGATTTCAAATGACATTATTCACGGTTTGGGGACGGTGAACCCACCCAACAAATTGCTCTTTGAAATATTTGACCACCCCCCACCTCCCCTCAGGGGGGGTTTGCCTCAACAGTTTGCACAGACATTCCTCAGCAGCCTGAAGGTAACTTCTGCGTCAAACAAGTCTGGTCAAATCTCCCAAAGAACACATTCCATCTCAAAATAGCAACACCAAAGGACCCTCACGGGGGCAGGATTTAAGAAAAAGAAATTCAAAGATTGTATGATTGTGCGATAAGGATCAAACTAATTTCTTAAAAGCGCATAATCTCAAGGCCGACTAATGACAAGACACGAAATGACGCAATACGTCCCCAACAATCGAGACAATCAGATTTATTTTAATGAGAGCGAGCAAAGTAATGAACCAAGAGCAGGATTAACAGACCTCAGAGGGGGGAGGGACTCACGCACGACGGCAGTAATTACTATTTGAGGACAGTAGCCCACTCAACATCTGGACATCGTCAGGACAACCAGTCGTTTTTTACCAGCTGCATCCTCAGCTGGGCCTCTGATATATCTACCTCTATAGATTTATTTCTTACACAAGGTTTCATATATTATGTATGTTGTCTGTCTGTTGGTCACAAACCGCTACGACCTCGACAACGCACTGAGGAGACTCCTCTGGAGGAAGCGACTGCAGGGGGGACTGCGACGCGTAACCGGGGGCGATGCCTTCAGCTTTGCTGCATGATGTAACCTCCTGAGGTCTGCAGGATCTCACTCTGTGCTCATAGACCCACATTGGCCGTGGTGAGGTTGAAGTGGTTATTCCTAAAGCAATGATTTACAATCCTCGAAGTATTGTTATCGTGGTCTGAAATAGATAAGCCCATTTCTAAATGAATTAATAATGGTTTAAGTTTAAAAATTCATACATTTTGAGGCAGACGCACTCAGGTTAATCTGTGGTGGTTTTAATCCTGACCGCCCCCTGGTGGGAAAAGTTTTGAAACTTCCTCCCAAGCCATCAAAGTTTTCTTTGTAGTAATTAAGGTTTTAATTGAGGTCATATTCAGGTTTGTATCATTTCCCATAGGGAAGATCTTTTGTAAATTGTTACTTTGTTTGATGGATTACTGTTGTATTTTTCACCACATGAAGGAGAGAGACATGTAAAAAAAAAGATTTATTTTGGACAGAGAGTAAGGACATACACCAAGTAGTTGATATAAACTCTAAATGTCAAAATAATTACTACAAACAGTGTAAATAGGCTTAAACTGTTTCCCAGACACAAATCCTAATTAATACTGCATTGCATTGTGGGCAAACTACCACTAGATGGGGTGCAAAGAGACCAAATTAAGCATCTAGCTATTCTTGGTGAAAAGAGATAACAGTGACTTCCACTTTGTGTTTAGCGCCTGCTGACAAAAGTCTCTGTTTTTATACATCCAGATCCAATACCTTTAAAACAAAAATACTTACTGGAAAAATGTTTGCTGAGCGGCGGCTCCAGAAAAGTAGCATTTGTTTCTGGCTTCTACCTGCGGGATCGTGGGAAGCGTTTCACATGAAGGTAGTTCATTTCACACTGACTCCACACAGAGATCTGAACCGTATTATGTTGGATCAGTGGCAGTGCGAGGCCTCAATAACATGAACCTAGCTGTGAAATGCCAGCAGACCCTCTGCATCATAACAAGCTGTGGACCTGGCATTCGTCAATTCCTGCGTCGCCTGTTCTCTTTATTCCGTCTCTGCCCCCCCTTCCGCCTGCACCACCCCCGTTCTGTGCCCTTTCCCGCTCAGCTCTCCGCCCTGCTGCAGCACCACCTGCTGAAGAGGCCTTTGCCTGCTGCCCTAACCCTTCCTGCCATGTGGATTGCGGGTGGCATTTTAAAAAGCGGGGTGGAGAAGATAACATTAGCTCAGCAGCTGGAGCCTCCTGCCCGCGGAGAGAGAGCGGCGGGGAGGCCCCGGCCCGCCACATCAAACGGGGATATGCCACACAGGAAATCATCCTGAGAGGAACATTTCACTTGCTTCCTCACCTGTAGAGATGCTCTCGGAGAGACAATGTCAAGGTGTGTGTGTGTGTGTGTGTGTGTGTCGTTTTGACGTGATATAATCTCAACAGATCTCTGGTTGTGTTGAATTTAAAGAGGTGTTCAAAGTGCTGTTGAATATGAGTGTGGTCCCATGCAGCAGCTGTCACACACACACACTTCCATCATATGATGCAAAAGAACCTAGCAACATCAGCATGTTTCCTTGGTGATGATTATGGGGCTCCTTATAAGCACAACCCCTCTTCAACTCGACACATGAATAGAAATCTTTATAACGGTCGACTTCCGAAAAAAAAGCTCAGCTTTCAACTCTGCATCTGCATCTGCAGATGAGTCACTTCACACACGAGAGACCTGATGACACGTCGAACAGTGCAGACTGTTAATTCAATATAACACCTCGTATAATACGCCTATAATAAATGTGTCTAATGGTTTATGGAAATCACTGGGTCTTTGACCACGCTGCTTTGGTTCTCACCTTTTGAATAAGGATCTAAAGGAAATTTAATATTCAGTCATTGTAATTAGTGATTTTTTTAATGTTCTGTACTCCTGGACACCACTGTCTGGATTTTCAATTTAGAGATCAGGCCTCTTTGGACAGTACACGCTGTCACTGATTATGAGATGGTGTTCCTTTGAACCAAAATCAATAAATCTGTTTTGTTTGGTGAGTCATCTGCTACGTGTCAAAATGATCGAAGGTGACAAAGTCTGAACCTGGAAAACCACAAAATAAACTGTGACCCCTTTGGGGATTTTCACTGTTTACCCTTTTTAATTCAACTTTTATCTGACGCGACGGTCTACAATGATTTCGAAATATAGAAGTCACCCAGACGCCGCAACCAAAATAATGACATCAAAAACATGCCAGTAATTTGAGAAAAAGAGCCTTATTTTTCAGGGAATAGAACCAAACTGACAAGAACAGGATTGGTTTGATACAAATAAACCTGCTCCGTGGGACAATCCACCTTCCTTCCTCGCATATTATCCTCATGACCTTTAATCTTTATCGTGTGTCAACAAGCACAACAGCCCGTGCTTGATTGTAACCTGAGCCTAATGCGCTTTTATGGGAATAAACATTTTGATAGCGTTCCTGTTACGCTTGCAACTGTATTTACACGATGTAACGTTCAGGTCGCATTGGAATTTCTCCTCACAAAATGACCCTGTCAGCGAAGCATCCCGACACACGGATTGTTTTCTCACTGCGCTTGTTGGCACCGAACAAATAACTATAATTAAAAACACACACACACACGCGAGAGCCCGTGAACGTGACTGCGGTGATACAAACGTCGGGTGATTCCGCTAAATTTTAAAAGGACGCGGAGAACCTCAAGGCAACGGGACAGTAACGGTTACTCTCGGTGACGCGCTTCTACCGTACCGGAGCGGGTGAACCGACACACACACACACACACACACACACACACACACACACACACACACCGGCGGAGTAGTTCACCGTGGTGAATGGTGGGAGGAGTGTGTGTGTGTGTGAGTGTGTCTGTGCGAGGAGGCACGCTTGAGCCACAAAGAGGAGCCGGAGAACACAGCGGACGAGTGACCGCGGAGATGAAGCGGGACTTATTTTAGCGCGCGACCGAGGCACTCGAGCGCATCCGGCTGTTTTTTTTTTTTTTTACAATTTATGTTTGTATTTTTTTCTCTTTTGTTTTTCGCTTCGAAACTTCGGCTGTGTCAGCATTTATCGAACACCCACCCACCCTTTCCGTCTGTCTGTCGGTCTGTCTCTCACACGCACGCGTTACTTTTGACACCGCCGTCGTCCCCCGCGTGGCTCCCGGGAGGAGGACACGCATCACCGGGGAGGAAGAAACTTCTTGACCGCTGGCTGAAATCAAAGGACCGGGAGGAGAAGGTCTCGCAGCCCGCGGGCAGGTGAGCGACTGCGTGGTTGTGTTCCACTGCTTTTTAACACGTTTAACCCGTCACCGAACCTTTTCTAGCTTATCACTTAGACACGTTTTTTCTTTCTCAACATGTTCGGTCATGTTAAGTTGACGTTACATGTGTCTGTTTCACCACGTTAGCACATGCTAAGCGTGCTGTAACGTGCCGATGCGCGCTAGCTGATACACACCACACAGTGATCGCAGTGAGTCATATTCATACTTGCAGGTTGGATCTCCCTCACTTTACCCAAAATGCCCATTCAGTGTAATAATACAGGCCATGTGTTTGCTACAGGCTGTGATCTCGGTATTGCTCCCGGAGCTAACCGGTGATCTCACCTAAAGACACGGGACACGCCCATGATGTCCCACTACGAGAATACACGGTTCGATTCCCCCTCACCGTCGGTTTGTCCCTCGCAAATGAACGGATGCATAATGCACAAATAAAGCCCCGGAGGTGGAATGTGATGTGCATTTGTTTCAGCCATGCGCACACGAGTCATTTGTGTCTCTCGCGGAGCACTTTTCCCACGTTAATTGCATAATTGATGACACCGTTCAGTTTTCTCCTTTGGAGTTGAGGGATTGTCCCTTTGGGTGTTTCCTTCTTTCCCGGTGTTCTATAAAAGATTGCATAGTGCTTTGTGCTGCACACTTCCCAAGAGGCATCGCTTAAATATGTTGGTGGGAATCCATTTGGTGCACCGTCTCTTACTGTTAGATCCAACCCGGCCGTTTTAACACTTCCCCATCTGACACCATGACACCTCCAATAAAACCAGCCAGCCGCACATTTGTTTGCTTTTGTAAAGGCCTCCAGTTGGCACAGGACATTAATTTGCATCCCGTAGCCATGTCAGACATGTTGAAACCTGTTTGTGTCCTATGGGCTGATTACTCGGGACGTGTCATGGCTTTAAAAGTCTTTAGCTCTTTTCTAAGATGCCTATCAGTGGATTGAAGAGCTTCGCAGTGGAGTGTGCCGAATACTGTGGTTGGTAACTTCTTATTGGCTTGAATGGTGCAGAACTGAACGTGTTCCTTCAAGTGGGGGCTCCTGTCCCGAGGGCGGCCAGCCCCAAGAAGATGTTATGTCAGAAAATAAACATCTGACTTTCAGATCGCGGCGGCAGCCGTGTGACTTTGACAAAATGCGGCAAACGGTTGACAATTTTTGAGGTTGGCTGGAGAAACATTTCTACAGTTGTTTAAATTTGCTTGGATTAGAGTAAGGATATGGTTAAAGGTTAAAAAGCACAGCAGTGCTGCGAAAAGACTACGGCTTCTTTTCGAAAACGCTTTAAACACTGCCCGAGAAATGTTGTTTTAGGGGAATAAATGGAGAATACAAGAAGATGTGACGGGTTAGAACAGGAAGGAATGCGCTGCGCTGTGTTCACAGCAGTAATCTACTTGCTGGTCACCAACTCTTTTTACACTGTTTTGTTGCGTCAGGGATTCATTGCTTCTTTATCTTTCATCTCACGCATGTTACGGATGATCCTGAAGTGGCCGTTCTGCTGATCAGGCATGTGGAATTGTATAGAACAGTAGCCGACCCGATTGTCCACATGAGAACGTATTGATTCTGTGTCCCCAAAGTTCTGCTCTGGCCTACTTACATAACCGCCACTGTGTGCTTGTATGTTCATGTGCTGTGTCCCTAAATAGCCGCCTCTCGAGAGGAGATGCATACCCATCCTACACGAGACCCAATATCCTGTAGGATATTTGCTAGCCCCGTACACCGAAAGCAACGCATCTGCATGATCCGTCGAAGCTGTGCACAATCACCCCGAGGGAGTGCAAGTCTGACTTGTGAAGAATGACTTGTTGTTGTTGGCTGCTCTGTAGCACTGCGGTCAAGTCCAGGTCTCTGCCTCTCTCTCATGTACACAAACATGCACCATCGCCAGCAATGATAATGAACCTCTGCCGTAACTCTTCTGAGAGCGTCTTCTAATAATTTGTAGCCCCCACATGGAAAATGTGGTTTCATTCGCTGGGGCAACAGCAAAATGTTTAATGCGAAAATTGTAGTTGTTATATAGGTAGCTATATTGAATTCATAGATTTAAGAAAATGTCAATAACAATTATGTAACATAGGCTCAAGAACACTTGAAGAGCCAGTTGGAGAACGAAATGCAGCTCCGGGAGACGGACCAGTGAGCAGCCGGAGAACATGGCGGCCCCCGCAGGGCGAGGTGTATACCGTTTCTATTGCTGCTCATCATTCAGACATGTAGCTGTGATGCCAAGTTGCCTTCGTGCTTGTTGCTGCAGTTCTTGGAACCGTCTTTTCCACTGTACCAATGAAATTGTTGAGTCAAACAAATAAGGGTTTGCTCTACAGGGGCAACTGGTTTGTGGCAGTTCCGGGCACGCAGCAAAAAGTAAAACGGGAAAAGAATACATCCATCACGCTCCGAGTAGAGGTCGGAGCTCCGCTGTTACCAAGCAAGTCCCCTCTGTGTCAAACATGTTTAGATTTGCAATGCATAGCAGATCCTGTGGCCACGGACCAGTTCAGCGTTTGACAGTACGTGAATCTGTGTGAGGACCCTTCCAGAGGGACACTGGTCTCTGACATTAATGTCAAATGCAAGCCCACAATAAAAGGAATGGTGCTTTTCGAAAATGTCATCTTCTCCGCCTCGGCTTGCTTCGTGCGGGTAACATTCCCCGGGCTAATTGCTATCATTTAACCCCCATAGGAACACAGGAGGCTTTGGTTCGCTGTCGCTGCTGGTTTGCAACTTGAGCTCTCTTCAAAGTCCAAGGCTCAGACGAACTGGGAGGTGCACATTATTTTGTCAAAGCTGAGGCTCTGCTTTTGAAAGGAGGCAAAAAAAAAATAGCTACTTGACCGCATAACAAGTCTGCTTGTTTTTCTTTCATCCTCGGGAATATTCCCACCAGTTCAAACATTGACCGACTGAGGGAACGTGAATGTTGTGGAATGAGAATTATTTCACCCCTTCTTCATCGTGAGGTGTTATTGTGTAATTCTCTTAACCGGAGAAGGAAAGTCCTTTTTTCAGATTGTTGCTGTACTTTTGCATCCCCGTAGTTGAATGAAGGAAGCCAAATGTTTACAGCACAGTGCGAGTGGGTTTGTGTAATTCCGTGGAGGCACCTGCTCGTCCGGCCCCCCGTCTCCGGTGTGCAGACAGCAGTCAAGCTGGAGGACGGAGCTCGCTGTGATGTCAACTCACGGATGAGGGCCTTGAGCCCTCGTGTAGACACACAGATGGCACCTTGATTTAAATTGAAAAATAAATAAATAAAAAGACTAGTTGCCGTGCGAGGGGCCCCCGGTGAAGTGAGCCCGTGGAGGCGTCCGCTTGCCACACAGAGTACAACAATGGTTCTCTGCATGCCGCGGATATCTCTGTCAGCTGTTTGCTCTCCAGGCCACAGTATCAGCGCTACAGTATCACCTGCGATTAGGAACCAACCCCAGAATAGTTTGTATTGACCCCAACAAGGAGACGGGCGGGGGGGGAGGGGGTGCAGACATTCCGTCTCTGCCTCCCAGCAGAGGGCAGGGAAATGAATTTGGGTCACAGCAGATGAATTTCGTAAAGCACTGGTCCAGGTTGAAAGATTGGACTGCTCTCTGCCTCCGTGACACGTGACTTCACATCACCAGTAAAAGAAAGTGTTGATAATATTTTCATGGTTCACTGGGTGAGGCCTCATAGGAGAAGTACACCCTTTCCGGTATCTGAAATAATAACCAACGTTGTTTCAGGTATCCACAAGGCTCTGGAAACACCTTTTTTTGTTTTCTGTATCTACATTACTCCGTTAAGAATCGTCACTGCAGCATCAAGCCACATTCCTCTGTCGAATTCCCGGATCCTGAACCCTCCTTTAGTCCTCGAGGGAGACTCCACTCCTAAGAGGTGGTTTTTGCCTCTCGATGAAAAGAAGTATCTCCACACATGGTTTGACCCTCTTTCACCGTCAGCTCCACAAACCCTTTCTTTGTAGGTGCAGTCTTTAGAATGGACTTTACGCTGGTTACATCTACTCATTAACTGTACAGCAATGTACGTCAGCTCCCTGCTGCTGTCCCATTAATGTGTACTGCTCACCCTTTTGTCATTTATTATGGGGGATCAGAGAAAAGGGAACTCACAGAGTTATACAAATAAATTGCCCCAAAAACAAGAAGTCGATGCGGTGGCCCTCGTGTCTCCGGCCCAGAGGCTGCTCGTGCCTGCAGACCTGCATTCCACCGGGTGCAGCTGCACTTCATCCCCTCGTAACGTGTTTACGTATTTCTGAAGTGATTTCTGTTTTGATTCATGCCTGAAGCGTAACCGTCCGGAACTGCATTTCCAGAGAAACGAGTTATACTTTATACTTTGCTATGAAGCCATGAATCAGACTTCCAACTTATTTCTTCACTCCCTTGATTTGTCCCCAATAAAGTTGGAGGAGGGAAGAAGAAAACAAACCGCTTCCACCCCAGTAGATCCCGTCATTTTTGTTTTGCTCTAATGACGTGTGACAATAGTGGCGCTTCATCTTCCTGCTGTCGATGTTCTAATTTGGGGCCGCCGATGGAGCGAGATTAGATACATTTTCCCTCGGATTATGTCTGACCCACATTTCCTCAGATTGATGGGCTGTCGGCCCCGATGGGCAAAGTGTCCCATTGTGCGGCTGTTCTTCCTTCCTCCACCGCACTCTTCCCACCGTCTCTACCAGATCTGTAGCCCCCTTGGCCTTTGCTGATAATGGGGCTCCCCCCCCGCCCCCCTTCACAGCAGTCCTTTGGGCTCCAAGTCACCGCGCTCGCTGCCTTGTATGGCACCCGGAGGCTTTACGCCCCCCCCAGGTTTAAACCACTTTGAGACCGTAAGCTGTCATGAAGACTGCTCCACTCATTTCGCCAGAAGAACCCGCCTCCCCCGCCTCCCTCCCCCTCACCCCCAATCATTCTCCAACAGTGAGCCGTTGTTTGTGCTCC